TGTGACAATGACTGTGTATATGTCCATGAATGACTGAAAAACTGTGCTGAACACTGGAATTTGACACAACATTGTAAAATGATTATAAATCAATAAAATTGCCATGGCTTTTATCTGTTTTTAGTTGTAGTTTTCAGAAGTTAGCGAAGGATGGGAGACTGTTATTTTGATGGAAGGGGCTGTGGGTTGTGAACGTTTTCCAAGCTCAGCCCTTGGAGAACTGGGCCCAGCCCCAATCCAAGAGTCCCCAACAGGGAAGCCATCCCCCAACTCCCGACCCCTCCCCCACTCCTTGGTGGCCGCGGGCTCAGCACGGTACTCCTGGCTACTGCCTATACTTCATTTTACCCGTTGATCTGGTTGTCTGTCTGATCTGGTTCCTTCACAGTGCCGTTGTGAGAACCCGACCATGGCACAAAGTTTCTACCAGTTAAACGCTACCAGGGTTCTCCTGAGTCAAGACTACCAGGCACTGGGTGAAGTTCACTTTCATTCATCATCTTGTTTGGGTCCTCTCATCAACCTTGGGAATTAGGAATTCAGTCTTTCAGATTTGTTTTTAACCACCTTTTCTTCAGATGAGGAAAGTAAAGCTTAAAGAGGTAAAATTCCTTGTCCATGATCACAGCCTGGGTTTGAACCCAGGGTCTTGGTCTCAGGAGTTCGTGTTCTTACCGAATATACTGCCTGCCTCCAAATCCACGGTCACTAATTTCTGTAGGCTGAGCTGTGTGTTTTGGGGAAGGGTCTAGGAGGAACGACTTCTTGGGGTATGGTGTGGAGGTCTGTGTGTACGACCGAGACCCAGAGTTCAACTGAAGCTAGTGTGCAGCCCTGTCCTGCCTCATCCAAGAAAGTAGACTTGCAGAGAAGACTGAAGGCTTGGATCAGACCAGAAGCTGGTCTGTCAAATCCTGAGGCTGGCAAGATGGGCAGCAGCATAGGCCTGGTAGAGCCAAGATGGAGGGAGGTGGGGGTGCGGGGGCACCCGGAGAGGGAGGCATGAAAACTCTCTGAGGAGCCCAGGGTGGCATGTGTGACCGTGTGACATGCAGACAGACAGGATCCCTGCACCAGGCTATGCCCTACACTCCCAGAACCCTCCTGCTGTCTTATCCTGCCCACCTGCTTTACCCCACCCACTGCTCAAAACTCCCACCCCTCCAAAACAAGTTCTATTTACTCCCTCTTCTCTAAAGGCAAAGGCACTGAAACCTGGGGCTGGAGCCAGAAAGGGAGTCAGGCTGGATGGAAAGGCGGAAGGTCTTGAGACCACTGTCAAATTCACACACAGCAGCCCTTCCCTCCACTATGAACCGGAAACCACCCCCCTTCATAAAGCATTGCTAAGTAAATAGATCAGTGCATCTTTATTATCATGCACATTGGGGGACATAGGAAGCTTGTGAGAAAAAAATCGGGGTCATTTGAGAGGCGAAGGTTTGTGACTGAGGTCAGGCATGTCTTTAGGG